AGAATTCATGGGGGGGAAAGAGCTGGGGCGGCCAAGCCGCAGCAGGGGATCCATGCGTCTTCACAGGATCCCTGCCGTGGGGGACAGTGATACGCATTGCACCGCCATCACCAGGATGTGACGCTACACGTTGCTCTGGTAATGGGACTCCAAACAGCCCTGTTGCCAGAGCGACGCATAGCAACACGTATCGCTGTCCCCCGCGGCAGGGATCCTGTGAAGATGCATGGATCCCCCGCTGCAGCTTGGCAGCCCTAGGAAGAGCAGTAAAAGTATGGCAATCTGTGGCAGTTTCCTGCTCATACACAATCATTTAGTTCATGGTCATGCGCAGCTATGACATTCATTTTTTGTTTCTTTCTTGATTCCCCCTTGTTACCCCACACTTCACAGACACTACCACCCATCATAACCTCTGTCACACAGGTTCAGAGATATGGGTAGATCAGGCAGCCACAGTTTGCCACCTGTCTTTTCTTTCACTCATGAAGTCCCCTTTCTCATTCACGAAGACGTCACCACAATGTTCCCTCTAAGCTGTGGAGTCTTGTGAGCAAAAATTCTACTTTGTGAGCCACTGGCATTAAAGTTGTGAGCAAGCGATTTGGCTTCTGTATAAATTAGTTTGCTCTGGAGCCATCCTTCCTGAGCGAAGACAAAAATGTGTGAACTGGAGGCTAAAAACTGTGAGCTAGCTCACACTAACTCAGCTTAAAGGGAACACTGGACGGGGCAGCCCAGTTCACTTATTAACCACTCCTCACACATCACCAGACAGGGCAGCCCAGTTCACTTATTAACCACTACTCAAACAGACACTTCACAGAGTTTCTGGGTTTGGTACTCAAACACTGCTTCAATCTCCTGCTGCCATCATTTATTCATAAGTATATTTACAGAGAGAGGCTGAAGCCAGACTGGTTTTACGTGTGTGTGTGTGTGTGTGTGTGTGTTTCCTACCCTGAGACAGTGTGTTTCTTTCCTTGAGACCGTACGGTCAATGGGGTTAACCATAAAAGAATTAACTTTTATTGAAAACTGTAAGCAACACTGGAGTGATTCAGGTAAACAGTGATTCAGTTAAATTTCTTAACACAAACTTTTGATCCCTAACTTGATTCATGCTTCCAAGACTATTTGTTATTAATGATTAATTATTCCAAAACTAAGATTATTCGTTTTAACAGGGTATATAAGAAAGATTCTTGGAGAATAAATGGACAACTTATAGAGCAAGTAAAAACATATAAGTCTTTAGGGATAATTTTCAGCTATAATGGCTGCTCCTCAGCACATATAGCCTCTACAATCTGTTCTGCTGAGAGAAATGTTAATGCTATTATTAGATTTGTTAGAAAGGAGGGCCAAGGTGTAATTTTAGCGGCTTTGAAATTATTTGACGCAAAGGTCTTAACCCAACTCACATATGGTACACAAGTAATTACAATAAGTGATAATAACTTTAAGGACCTGGAAAAAGTTCAATCTAAATTTATTAGAGCATTATTTAATGCGCCTAAATGTACAGCGAATGTAGTTCTTAGGCAGGAGATTGGGGTGACAAAAATGGAAACGAAAATCTGGATAGCTTCGATTTTTTATTGGTTAAGAACGCACTTGAAGCCTACAGGTCTAATTCCATCTTTACTTGCTGCTACTCCATACCCTGATTGGTCCTCTAAAATATTAGCCAAACTCGGTTCAATTGGGCTTCATCCTGCAAGTCTGTTGGAGCTAGGATTGACTAAAGCTAAATCTATGGTAACCCAACGCCTAATAGATATAGAGGCTCAGACAGAAGAAGCGCTCTTACCCTCAAGATATGGAGTCTTAAAATCCTGGACAGGTTTTGCTCCCGCTCCATATCATTCTAACATCACATACGACGGCTATAGATAGGCTTTCTCCAGAGCACGTTTTGATGCCCTACCCTCTAATCTGTTACGAGGAAGGTTTTTGCGTTGGCCTATCTCCCAAAGATGCTGCCCATGTACAAATTTTGATATAGAGTCAGTATCACATATTCTGTTACATTGTAATTTTTATGCTAAGGAGAGACAGCTGTTAATTTTCCCATTGTTGTCCAAATTTAAACCCTTGGATGTCCAGTTGAAATTTGCGGAATTGAGGATTTTAATTTTTTTGCTGGAAGACCGGAAAGAGAGGATATCTTTAGCGGTGGCAAAATTTTGCTTCCTGGCCCTTAAAAAGAGGAAGCTTGTACCGTAGATACCGTGTTTCCCCAAAATATAGACACTGTCTTATATTTATTTTTTCTCAAGAAGACACACTAGGGCTTATACCACAAATGCATAGAAATCCTGCTAGGGCTTATTTTTGGGGTAGGTCTTATTTTTGGGGAAACAGGGTAGCAAGTTGATGACAAATTAGCATTGTGTTGTATAGTTTTAATGATATACTGTATTCGTTTTAATGTTCTTTTATATATCCATCTGAATTTTATGTATTTATAGTGTATGTTACATTATTATTCCTCTAGGTAATGTTTTATATTGGCTGGTCGCTTCACCGTGTAAATAAACTTGAAACTTGAACTTGTTACAAGTGATTTTCCTTTCAGTTAGCTTCAGATTACTACATTCTCAATCACTAGCTCAAACAGCTCTAGCGCTCTTTCCAGCAGATTTAAGGGCTCTAACTGCCAGGTCTCCTCCCAACATTCCATCCATCAGTTGTCACTGGTTGTTTGTGAGAGAGGCGGAACAGGACCTGTCCATCACACCTGTCTTCTGTGTGATACTATCAAAGGTTTGTCTGGACACTGAGGCTTTGGACTCAGCTTGGATGGGAAGAACAGGGCAGATGGACTGGGCTTGCTGGTCAGTCTATAACAGTAATTAGATTGCTCACCATCCTGCCAGAATCTTGAGAACTTGCCAGCTTTTTTCAGACTTGACTTACATTTCATTTAAAACCCAGAGCTCATTCACAGGAGAACCCCATTACAACACAGCCACATTTTTTCCACTATGGAAATCATGGGAGGGGGAAAGCATAAATACAGACCTACCGTGTTCTGTCAGCTTGAACTTTTCATCTTTGTTAATTACTCCTTGCAGGCAAAGGCACGGATAGGCCTATATGGAAGTTGGGAGGGAAACGATCAGTTTTCAAATGACATTGCATCAGTGAACTGTAGCACAGTGAATGCACAGTAAAAAAGTTTAGCTGTAAACTCTGCAACAGAACAAAGATGTAACTGAAGGGCCTGACTACATATTTTGTCTTCTCCAGGACATCCCTTGGTCAGGTGAAGAGGCATGTTCTGAAGTTTATTTATTATTTATATCCCACCTTTACCCATGGCTCATGATAGCTTACAAACCATTTAAAACATATAGAAAAGCCTCAAACAGCCCCCCCCCCCAAGTTCTGTACTTCCCAAGCATGCATGGCCCCCATTTGAAACCCACTATTTGCCCCAGGGGTGGGGGTTTGCATGTATATTGATGAGCTACATGTTATGTTTCCATAATAAGACAAAGAGCTTCTCACCAGAGCTGTTTCAGATTAGGAAAAAGGCATGGAGGGATGATATAAGCCCTACTCTCTGACTTCTAGAGTTCTGATCAGAATTAGGGCTTTACATGCCTGGAAAGGGCAGAATGTCAGAAGACGCTTCTCCACCCAACCTAGAATCAGCTCTGGGGAAAGTATAACATGCAATTAGGCCACTGATACCCTTTTATTGGCTCAGTAATTGATCCTAAGTGGATCACCATCATATTGTTTGTACAGACAGTAGCTGCTTAGTCAATGATTTATCCTGCACCTGAAAATAATCATTACTGGAAGACAGAGGATACATTGCTATGATTCAGTGCTCTGCATTGTAAATAAGGCTAAAAAAATTTTAAATGAGTGGAAGGAAAGAGTTTTTAGACAAGCAACTTGAGGAAATGTTGCCAGGAGAAGACCATGTGTATTCTACAGTTTACTAGAGCAGAAGTTTTCCACTGAGGTTCCATGGGAAATTATCAGGTTTCTTCAGTGAGAAAATGTAACAGCAGACAAAGTTCCCTGGCAGACAGATTGGCCATCAGTACCCGCCCTGACCTGGATGGTCCAGGCTAGACCAGTCTCCGAAGCTAAGCATGGTCAGTGTTGGTTAATACCTTGGATGGAAGACCACCAAGGAACTTCAAGGTTGATCAACAGACAACGGCAAACTACCTCTGGTATCTGACAAAGAGAGCTTTGACTCTTGAAAGCTCATACCCTCATATTCCATGCCGGCAGCGCTCTGGGGAAGAAGTGTGGGCCACCGACACCACCTAGACCTCCTCCTCCTCCTCGCCCAAAAGAGGAAGTGGCCGTTGCACGCTCGGCACAGGAAGCCCCTGGGGCAGGTGGCGCCACTTCCCTTTCCTTTTCAAATCCTCGCGGCAACTTTTTCTCGCCACCACAGCTCTCCTTCCAGGGGGCAACCTCGCCTGCAGCCCCCTTTGCACTCAGCTGGGCACGGAGGAGGAGGAGGCGGCTGTGGGATGAGCACGCTGCTGCTGTCGGTGCCATCCCAGCTCTTGCCGCGGCTGCTGCCAGGCTGGGCAGACAAGCTGCTGTGGCGGGGCTGCAGGCCCTCTCCCCCAGTCCGGGGCTATGGCCACAGCTGGCCAGCCAGGGACAAGAGCGCGCAGGAACATCAGCAGGTGTGCCAGGAAAGGCAGTGACAGGGGGGCCGCCCTGGTATCCTTACTGCTGGAGTTGTGCTCCAGTGTGCTCCGGTAGGAAATGACCCCTGGGACTTCCCATCACTCTACTGGGCGCTCCCCTGCCCCTCTTCACCAAGCCTGCCTTTCCCTTAGTCAGCCAGCCTCAGAAAGGTGTAGGAAGCAGTTCCCTCTAAGCTGAGTGAGTGTGAGCTAGCTCACAGTTTTTAGCCTTCAGCTCACACATTTTTGTCTTAGCTCAGGACGGATGGCTCCAGAGCAAACTAATTTATGCAGTAGCCAAATTGCTCACTCACAACTTTAATGCTGGTAGCTCACAAAGTAGAATTTTTGCTCACAAGACTGTGAAGTCTTGTGAGCAAAAATTCTCCTTTGTGAGCTACTGGCATTAAAGTTGTGAGTGAGCGATTTGGCTCCTGCATAAATCAGTTTGCTCTGGAGTCATCCTTCCTGAGCCAAGACAAAAATGTGTGAGCCAGAGGCTAAAACACTGTGAGCTAGCTTACACTAACTGAAATTAGAGGGAACACTGCCCCCCACTACCCATCAGGCTTCCCTGAGCCCAAGCCATGTCCCAGCCGGTGATGGTTGCCCAGGTCCTCATTGCTGCCAACTGCCCGACCTTTGTTCTTTCTCTTGGCCCCAGAACCCAGGAGCATCTGCTGTCCCAGGCCCCAGACACTCCCTTCACACCACCAAGGGGCAGGCCAGTGCCACGGCCATTCTCAATGCTCTGCACCGCCTGTCTTCCTGGACACCAGCTTGACTTTCCCTTCCTCCCCAGCCAGACCTGGCATGTTCTCCATGCCACTGCTAGGGACAGCGAGGGACCCTGAAGATTGCCTGCTCCATCCGCTGCCGCAAGACACCAGCCAGTCCTCATCCTCCCCAGGTGTGTCTGCGCCATGGCCATGCAGGCCAGGGGGAGTCCAAGGTCGCCCCAGACATATTTATATACCATTTTAACTACTGAAATCGACAATAAATAATTCTGGAATCTGCAGCCATTTGATTTTCTATACACTCACCACAAGGACTCCATTTGTGAGAACTTCAGTAGGAGTATCCGAACTATAAAAACAAAATATTGAGGTAAATAATTTTTGACAATTTATTTCTCTGTTGTTCTATAGTTTTTTACTTTCCCGCTCTTAACCCCCCCCCCCCACAGCATAGTAGGGATATATATGCACCACAGTCTTGTCAATGTTTTCTTGCAAGTGTGAAGACAAAAATCCCATGACTCAGAATCTTTCCTATGAAAGAAGCCAGTCACACCATTATTCTTCATTTCACCTATGCCGGTCTACTTAAAAAAAAAAAAAAAGTTTGTTGAAGCTGCAGAGTACTGTCACCTCTCAGTTTTACTTTGCAGAAATTCGCCAGGAGCACAACAATGAGAGTTCAGACAAAAATGAAGTATCTTTAAAAGCATTCATGATACCCACAATGCCCAGTGACTCAGTAAGAGAATTGGAGGAGGGAAATCATGTACCAATATTCCTAAAGCAACCAAATATTCCAGCAGTTGCCAACATGCAATATTCTTTTTTAGTATGTCACTAGTGGGAAGAGCAGAGGAAGATAATACAAATGTGCTTAAGCATTGCAATGGGATAGGGCCAAAGTAATCTGCAATACAGGCAAAAAGCTACGTTTCCCGAAAATGAATGTGTGGGTGCTATGCCAGCAATGCAAGATTGTCTCCACAATACAAACAAACAGTTCTTATTGGATCACTCCATGAGGGGAAATTTAAAAAGGCAAATTTATGCACGGAGAAATCTTTTTTCTGGAAATTCAGCTCTATGTTCTAGTATTTCAGAGCTGACCAAATCAATGAAACTTCACGAATGTATCAAAGAAACTTCATAAATACAAACTAGCAAACAGCAGATCATTAAGGCTCAAGGATGCTTTTAGCCATTAAACACCCCTGTCCAACACTGACCCAAACCTGTGATGTTTATATTTATCTGTTTGGTTGTTCAATTTATACCCCACCCTCCCTGCCAAGGCAGGCTCAGAGCAGCTTACATAAAAGATAAAAACACATAAATAACAATTGTCAGAATCATAAAACCTTTTAAAACAATTCATTATAATAAAGGGCTAGTACAAATCTATACTAATATTGCTTAAGATGGCAGTAACAGTCATGATGGTCTGTCTTCGTGGTCAGCTCACTGGTCTATTGGAAAGAACTCAAATGTGAACTTGTGGATCTCCTGACAAAAATATGTAATCTTTCTTTAAAATCTGCCTCCATTCCTGAGGACTGGAAGCAGTGTTCCCTCTAAGCTGAGTTGGTGTGAGCTAGCTCACAGTTTTTTAGCCTCCGGCTCACAGATTTTTGCCTTAGCTCAGGAAGGATGGCCTCAAAGCAAACTGATTTGTGCAGTCGCCAAATGGCTGGCTCACAACTTTAATGCCTGTAGCTCACAAAGTAGGATTTTTGCTCACAAGACTCCACAGCTTAGAGGGAACATTGACTGGAAGGTAGCTAATGTCACTCCCATCTTTAAAAAGGGTTCCAGAGGAGATCCGGGAAATTACAGTCAGTCTGACGGCGATACCGGGTAAATTGGTGGAAACTTTTATTAAGAAAAGAATTAGTAAGCACATTGATGAACAAAAACTATTGAGGCAGACTCGGCATAGGTTCTGTAAAGGGAACATCTTGTCTCACTAACCTGTTAGTGTTCTTTGATGGGGTGAACAAACATGTGGGCACGGGGGACCCAATAGATATTGTTTACCTTGACTTCCAGAAAGCTTTTGATAAAGTTCCTCATCAAAGGCTCCTAAGTAAGCTCAAAAATTACAGGATTTGTGGATCAAAAACTGGCTAATCAATAGGAAACAGAGAGTGAGTATAAATGGGAAATTTTCTCAGTGGAGGGTGGTAAGCAGTGGGGTACTGCAGGGATCAGTACTCAGTCTGATGCTTTTTAACTTGTTCATTAATGGTTGGGAGTAAGCAGTGAAGTGGTAAATTTGCGGATGATACGAAGTTGTTCAGGATGGTGAAAACCAGGAAGGATTGTGAGGCCCTCCAAAGGGATCTGTCGAGGGTGGGCGAGTGGGCATCAATGTGGCAATTGGGGTTCAATGTGGCCAAGTGCAAGATGATGCACATTGGAGCCAAAAATCCTAACTATAAATACACGTTGATGGGGTCCAAACTGGCAGAGACTGACCAAGAGAGAGATCGTTGTAGTGGATAACTCACTGAAAATGTCGAGACAGTGTGTGACTGCAATAAAGAAGGCCAATGCTATGCTGGGGATTATTAGGAAGGGTATTGAAAACAGATCAGCCAATATCATAATGCCCCTATATAAATCAATGGTGCGACCTCCTTTGGAATACTGTGTACAGTTCTGGTCACCATACCTTAAAAGTGCAGAAAAGGGCAACTAGAATGATAAAAGGGTTGAAACACTTTCCCTATGAAGAAAGGTTAAAGCGTTTGGAGCTCTTTAGCTTGGAGAAACAACAGCTGAAGGGTGACATGATCGAGGTTTATAAGATTATGCATGGGATAGAGCAGGTCGAGAAAGAGGTACTTTTCTCCCTTTCTCACAATACAAGAACTCGTTGGCACCCAATGAAATTGCTGAGCAGTCAGGTTAGAACAGATAAAAGGAAGTACTTCTTCACCCAAAGAGTGATTAACACATGGAAT